AGTACCTGTCTAGCATGCAGGAAACCCTACAGAAGGATCAAAAATTCAAGGTCGCCGGGCGTTGGTGGCGCACGCCTTTAATCCCAGCACTCAGGAGGCAGAGGCAGGCGGATCTCTGTGAGTTTGAGGCCAGCCTGGTCTACAAAGTGAGTTCCAGGACAGCCTCCAAAAGCTACAGAGAAACCCTGTCTCGAAAAAAACCAAAAAAAAAAAAAATTAAAGGTCATCCTCAGCTTCATAATGAGTTCAAGCTTATGATACATGAGTCTCTGCCTCAAACACATGTTTATGCCTAAAGAATCAACTTCTAACACCTCATTGGTTGTGTTTTATCTGGGGTACAGATGTCTGCCTTATATCCTCTCCCCAGATGACCCAGCCTTTGGCAGCTGCTTCCTGTTGCTTCAGTTCCTGGAATGAAGTATACTAGTTATTAACAGTGTCTACTTATTGCTTGAGTGGTAATCAGATTTTCATCGAGATTTTTATGATGCCACTGGCCCCTGCCCTGGAAATGACTTCCTCACAGCACAGTGATGAGGTGAGGAAGGTCACGCTGTTTTCACCACTTAGCTCCCTAGGCACCACACAAGAAGCTAAGCACACCAACAGGTGTTAACCCAAGGTTTAGGCACTGAAAGGAAATTAGAGAAATGGCCTGATGTCTCCATTCAGTATGATTCCTCACAGACTAAGGGAAAATAAACCATTTTCAGAAATACTCCATTCGCTGCTCTTGCTTCTACTTCAGGACCCTCTACTGGTATTTCTCCTCAGCCTAGTATCTGTGGAGGTTCCTTGAAAATGCACTTTCAAATTTAGTAGTTACATAACTTAATAAAATAATTATCAAAAAGGGATGCTGAGGCATCCTGGGGTTAGTAGTAACAGAGGGGCCATTACTGCTGGAGATGGAAGGAATTACCAGAATGCAGAGGAACGTCAGCTCCCAGCATAGTGTAGCCACACGGGGAATGCCTACGGTAGGTTGGTTGTCCCTTCGGGCTCTCTAAACCTCTACTAGTACTTTCCCAAGCATACTCTCTGGAAGCTGGACATTTGGGGACCAGGTATATCAGACTTTATAAGCACAGAACAGGCTTCAAGAAAAAATGACCCTTGGAGTCAAACGAACTATTCAGCACAAAACCATCTACTTTTTAAAAATCCCTTTGTGGAAAACCAGTTCTTGTACAGAGACACCTTCATCCCAAGGTACATCCTTCAACAGCGTGCAGCAATTTCTAAATCTGAACCAGTAAAGCACACCAACACTGGGCGTGTGTTCTATAGGGCACAGCGTTGTTTGTTTTCCTAACCGTAAACAAGAGAATGGTTTGACACCTCAAAGACTGGCACTTTCTCAGTTCTTGTCAATGTGAAGCCAACATGAGAATGTGACTTTAATTTTTTATTGTTGGCAGAGGGGTGGTCACTGCTTGAATCAGTCTGTCTAGGCTGAGGATTGTAACGGTTTCAACAGAAGAGATTTATTTGGAACAGCTTTGGAGGTCAAAAGTATAGGATCAAAGTGCAGGGGTATTAGTTGTTGGTTGCTGCAACAAAACACCTGACGAGGCAATTGGAAGGGTTTATTTTGGCACACCACTTGAGGTTACAGTCAGCCATAGCGGGGAAGTCATCATGGCAGAATCTTGATGCAGCTGGTCGCGCTGCAGAGGCAGTGAGGAAGCAAAGAGCCACATAGCTTGCTTTCTCCTTTTTATTCAGTCTAAAACACCAGCCCATAGGTTGATACCGATCACGTTTAGGGTGGGTCTTCTAGTTTAGTTAACCTAATATAGAAAGTCTCTCACAGACATGCCCAGAGGTTTGTTTCCGTAGTGATTTTTTTTTTTTTTTGGTTTTTTTGAGACAGGTTTTCTCTGTATTGCCACCAACACCCGGCTCCGTGGTGATTCTAAATCCCATCAAGTTGACAAGAAATCATAAAAGGACTGGTGGGGCCTGTCGGGCATGGTGGCAAATGCCTCTAATCCAGCACTCGGGAGGCAGAGGCGGGCGGATCTCTGTGAGTTCGAGGCCATCCTGGTCTATAGAGCTAGTTCCAGGGCAGCCTCCAAAGCCACAGAGAAACCCTGTCTTGAAAACCAAACACAAACACAAAAGGACTGGGGCCTTGGATAGCCTTGAGGTAAATTCCTATTCCCAACCTTTCTGCTGGTTTTGTAGCTCCTCATCTGTGTGTGTCCACATCATCTTTCCTCTGTTCATGCCTGTGTCCAAAGTCCTCTTGTAAGGACACCTATACACAACACACCCTTAGACACATACCCCTTCAGACAAGCCATAGTAGTTCATAAATCCATATAGAAATGCTTTTTTTTTTTTTTTGGTTTTTTGAGACAAGGTTTCTCTGTGGCTTTGGAGGCTGTCCTGGAACTCACTCTGTAGACCAGGCTGGCCTCGAACTCACAGAGATCCGCCTGCCTCTGCCTCCTGAGTGCTGGGATTAAAGGCATGCGCCACCAACGCCCGGCTTAGAAATGCTTTTCTTACAGTAGACGGTCAGTATCGACTCCCTGGCCACTGTGGTGGTGAATACTGAAGAGTGGGACTCTACAGGGCCCCTGGCCTAGCTTCTGAGGATGGACACTTTCCCTTAAACCAAGTGAAGCTTGGAAGAAGAGATTCTAGCCCATTCATTGCCAGAGAAAACATTCAGGGGTTAATCCTCTGGGATTTACCTGGGTGGTGACATTATGAGTGACGTGTTGCCTTTATTCCCTTCCTCAGAGGTTTACTGAATATTGGGTACTCTATTAGGCAGGCTCCCAGTGGGCTCCAGGAAGGAACAAGGTAGGTTCTCTTCTGGCAGAGTTGAGGAAATATACAATGTATTTGGCAATAGTGCCAATGCTGGGTCAAAGGGATAATATGATCTTATGCCCGGTATGAAGCCCTGGTGAGCAGCCCAAGACTTACTCTCCTGTCTGTAAGATGCTTTCCACTCTCAGTAAGTTTCCCTTGATGAACAAACAGACCCTCCTTGTTCTGCCTGACTGCCAGTTGGGTCCTTTTGACCCCGTCTCTGTGACAGTCTGTGAGCCTTGCCTCAAGGATCAAAACTCTTCAGAGGGCTGCCCTTATCCCTCTGCAGCTACCCATTTGCAGGTAAGGAGAGCAGGAGGGCCGGGGACTTTACTCTTGTCTCTGTACAGGCCTTGGCAATACATAGGGCCTGTTGGTGAAATGTAGCCCGCATTTGAAATCAGAGTAGCTAGTGGTGTAGAATCTGAAGGGCATTTTGACGTAAAGGTCAAAGTAAAGAAAGACTTGTTTCAAAAAGCGTCATGGATGTGGCTTTTGTCTACCAGGGGAGATTGTAATTCAGTACACAGAAAACCTAAACTGTACCAGCCTCCTTGGCTCTCAACATCTTATGGAAATTAAACTGAGAAAGCTCTCGGGTGCTAATATGAGCCATAATTTTAGATTTGTTTTGTTACTACTCTCTAAACTGTGTGTGTGCGCGCGCGCGCATGTACATGCACTCACTACACAGAGTTTCAGGTGGTTATAAGTGGAATGGAGCTGGGGTCCTCTGAAAGAACAGGAACTGCTCTTCACTGCTGAGCCATCTCTCTACCCCGAGCGCCCCCTTGTAAAGGATGACTGAGGGCAGAGCCAAGAACCGCTATGAAAAACCGGAAACTTAACACATACCCATGGGGCTTGTTCTCGTCAGCCACCAGCAAACTCCAAAGAAACTCAGGTTAGGTCTCTAAGTGGTGAGAGAAGAGAGGGGAGAGGCCGAAGCTGAAGGGAGGGGGCAAGTGGTCATCTAATCCTAGCTAGGGTTCCAGCTGAATGCAGCCACAGGTTTAAATGTAACGGGAAGAACTACCCAGGAGAGCCCTGTCAACTCAGACCTCTGAAGAAAAAGAATCATTGGTATTAGCTGCAAAGTTTGGAGGTGCAGCAATATATATTTCTATCCTCTTTAATCTCTTGGTAGTATGTAGCTGATTACCCCTCGTTAAAATATGTAAATATTTGGCTTTCATGATCCCATATTCTCCATTCATCGCTCTCAGTCTCTTCTTTCTCCACTAAAGGCGCAGCTTCTTGGAATCCTCTTCTTCCCAATTTATATTCTCTTCTGGGATGACCTAATCCAGCCTTGGGGATTCAAATGTCATTTGTGTTTTCAAAATTCCAGTATTGACCTCTTCTATAAATGTTCGACTCACAGATCCAAGTGTCTCCTGAACATTTCCACTTGGACTTTTTATCGTATTTTGTTCTATCTTAAAACTCTGAGTAGTTGCTATTGTCAACTAAGAAATGCTATGAGCACGAGAAATGGTCTTCCCTGGGCAAGAACATCCCCTGCCATTAGTTATCCAATGCAAAATGGTCAGCCCGGAAATCACAGGCATTTAAGTACCACCACAGAGACTGAGAATGTTGTATTTATATATTTAGAAATATATAATTTATATGTTTAGGGATATATGAATATATAAAAAGCATTATAACCTTGGCCCAGTTTTGATACTATTATAAACACACACACACATGCACACACGTACGCACACATACACACACGCACGCACACATACACCATGAATTTGAGAGGGGCATACATGGGAGGAGCTGTGGGGAGAAAAGGTATGTGGATAATGATTTAAAAAGTCATTAAAAAACAACCCGAAATGACGGATAACAAAGATACCTTGTAAAAGCGCCTGCTGCCAAGCCTCGTGACCTGAGCTTAACCCATGGGACCCACGTGATGAAAGGAGTGGATGTACTCTCATAAGCTGCCCTTTGACCTCCACGTGAGCCAGGACGTGTGTGTCATTAGACCCTCACGCTAAATAAATGTAACAAAGTCTGAAAGGCTACTCAGGATTCATTTTGTTTAGTCTGACAACACAGGACTGTCATGATGTTTTTATATTGAGAGAGCCCTAGAAATAAGCACAGTGTGCCATTCAGGAAGACACAGGGAAATGCCAGTCAGGAGACAGGGAGCGGAGGAAAGAGCCTTTATTGTGAGAGATGTCCTTGAGAAAGAACAGGTGATGAGCGGGTAATTAGGATAGCCTAATTTGAATAACAGCACCAGCCTGTGGGGAATATAAGGACTGGCTGTCTCAGTGTCTGAAACCTGGACCTGTGGCAATTGAAGAAGGGAAATAAAGTTAGAGCCCATGGTAAACTGTGGCAAGGAAAGGGGCGGTTGTAGGAGTAGGCTCGGGCGAGTGCTTTGCGAGGGAAAGGCAATCCACCAGTGAGTGGTCTGTCCAAGCACCAGATACAAAAACTAGAAAGTGGAACTTACATTTATAATCCTTATTTCTGTAAATTCAGTAATAGTGACCCCTTTTAGTCTTGGTTACTAATAATTTTAGTCCTTTTTGTCATTCTAGGTAAAGATCTGGTAATGTTTTTAAAATATTAAAGAACCACGTTTTAGTTCTAATGATTCATTGTATTATTTTCTAGCCTCTGTTGTATTTCTCTAATACTCTAATCTGCAGTATCTCCTTTTTTGAAAACTACTATTCTAGTTCCTAAGGTACATTAGGCTATTGATTTGAGATGACAGCTGTTCATTTCCCCTAAACATTGTTTCCATTACACCTCACAAGTTCTTTAGTTTTTTCAAGTATGCATTTTGTATGTAGGGGTGTTTTGCTTGCACATATGTCTGCTCACCGTGTACATGCAGTGTCCTCAGAGGCCGGAAGGTATTGGGTTCCTTGGAAATGGAATTATAGTTGTGAGCTGTCATGTAGTTGCTAAAACACTGAACCTGGGTCCTCTAGAAGAGAAGCAAGTACTCTGTCTGAGCTGTCTCTGCAATCCTTCTTTTGTATTTGTCTTATTTTCTAGCCTCCTTTGGGAGATCTCCTTTAACTTATGATTTAAGAGCGTGCTGCATAATTTCCACGTTTGTGAATTCCCTACATTGTGCCTGATACTGATTTCTAGTTTCATGTCATTAAAGCTAGAGGACATTCTTTGCATGATCTGTACATTGTTATAATTTGTAAACCCTGCAGGAGGAGGGCATCAGGTCACCTGGGACTGATGTACAAACAATTGTGAGCTACCATGTAGGTTCTGGGAATTGAACCCCAGGTCATCTGGAAGGAGTTTAACCCCTGAGCCCTGCATTTATAACTTGCAATATTTGTAATTATCATCTCTATAATCAAATGGAAGGAGTGACAAACTTTTCATTTACCCATAATTATCTTTACTGGTGTTTTTTAATTCATGAGAATCTGAATTATTGCTTAATGGCTTTCCTATCAGCTCAAAGACTCCCTTTAGTATTTTAATAGTAGCAACTAAGTCAGTTTTTAAAAATTTGTTATTTTTAGTGTGTGTGCTCATGTGTGCTCACACTCATCAGATCCCTTGAAACTGCAGTTACAAGTGTGTGTCATGTGGGTGCTGGGATCTGAACCTGGGTCCTTGGCAACAGCAGTCAGTGCTCTTAACCGCTGAGCCATCTCTCCAGCCCCCAAGAGCTGTTTGTATTACTAGCTTTTACTTCCTTCGTATGGACCACACTTTGTTTCTTTACATATCTCACAATTTACTTGGAGGTGGACATGTCTAATAATGTGGTAGCTCCCAAAGTCAGATTTTTTTCCTTTCCCAAGGTTATTATTGTTTGTTGAACTAGTTGCTGTGTTTGCCTAGTGACTTTTCCGATCTAATTTCGTTTTATTTTGGGTTTTTAGAGACAGGGTTTCTCCGTGTTACAGCCCTGGCTGTCCTGGAGCTCACTCTGTAGACCAGGCTAGCCTCAAACTCACAGATATCCGAATGCCTCAGCCGCGGGAGTGCTGCGATTTAAGGTGTGCACCACCAATGCCCAACCTGATCTAAGTCTGTAAAGTGTGCATCTGCACTATGTGTGACTAACGTCTCTACTTGGTGAGTTTCCCTCTTGGCAAATGACTGGCTAGGGATTACCTTAAGCACCAGGAGGCAGTAAGCATCTTAGTCTTTGTCAAGGAGCTCTATGACTATCTTGGCATATGCCTTCAACAGTCAGGCAGTTTCCAAGTGTACATAGCTTTTGCTTCCTGCTTGCACAGAGCCCGAGTGTTAGGTAGGACTCCGTGAGCACCTGAGTGGTCCAATGCATGTGTGTGCCTGTGTGGGTTCCTACAACATGCTGGCACTTTTCAAAGCCCTTCATTGTTCAGGTCTTTGGTTAATCTATTGCCCTCTTCAACCGTCATCTGTAGGGAGAGCGCCTTGCACAGCCACAGCGGGCTCCTGAACGCAGGCAAACAGCCTTAATCTGCCCTTGTCTTCAGCACCTTCGTTTAACTCGAGTCCTGTCTGAGCTGTCCAGGGGTACAAAGTGGAATTCAGTTGGGAAAAATCCAGCACACTGTGATTTGCATTTGACAGTGTCCCTTTGGAAGCTTAGTTAGGATGCAGAAATCAACTTGAAAAGCTGTGACCTGGAGAACAATAAAAAGACCTTTGGCTAAGAGAAGGTGGCTCAGTCCCAGTGGCTGAGCTCCCCTGTAGCTGGAAAGGCTAAAATCATCCTTAAAGTGCCCCGCGTCTTCTTCTACAGACCCACATGTTAGGAGGCCTCCACAGTCGTCCTTAGGATTCGCCTTTGAAAGAGCTCCAGTCCTGTCTGCTCTCTTCTTGGTACAGATACCATGAATGTGATTGTCATTTCTCAGACTCAGACGTATCAAAGAGCTTCAGGGGGGCAAGATATAAGTCGAGTAGGAGAAAATGCTACAAAGGTTGCTGAGATTTGGCTGCTTTTACTCTGGAGGTTGTTACTGCAAGCCTTTAGTTAACTTCTAAAGCTCTGAAAAAAAACAAAAAAGTGTTTTTCAGTTTCTTCACTGCTTCTACAGAAGTATCCACTATTTTTACCATCATTGTCTTTTCAGCCAGTCATGATAAAATGGGGGAACTTTTATGGAACAGCACTTGTTTGACATGTAAGATGGAAAACAATAAGGCATTATTAGAAAACGATGTCAAAAGTACAACAGATAAATGTTTAAGCCAAATACAAATATTTAACAATCAAAACATCGAAACCACTTGAATTCGTCCAAGAAATCACCCTTCACCCCACCCCCTCATCCATTTTCATTTGTTCTTGCAGTCTAGTCTTCGTTATACTTGTTATTTATTTATTTTGGGCGGGGAGAGCACTGAGCACTGAACATTGAGCCTAGTGTTGCTTGCTTTTCCTAGGCTATGGCTGAGTTACAGCTCCAGCATGCCCTTCTTATTATGGTGTGTGCATATGTGCAGGTCAGAGGTCAAGCCGGGTGTCATTTCTCAGGAGCGGTCCACTTTTTTTTTTTTAATTTTTTTTAGGAGCGGTCCACTTTAATAGTGTATTGTGTGTATGTATACACGAGGCATGTTACAGCACACACGTGGAGGTCAGAGGCCCATCCACTTTTACCTGGGCTTAAGGGATCCACTTCAGGTTGGCAGGCTTGGACAGCAAGCACCTTTCTCTGCTAAGCCTTTTCTCTGCACCTCTGGAACCTGGGGCTTGCCAACTGGTCTAATCCCACTTCCTGAGGATTGAACAGGGGCTGTACACCCTCGGCTCTCTGTTTTATTTTATTTTTGTAGTATTTTGTATTCATTTTAAGTTTGTAAGAACTCACCTCCCAATTTTCTCCATCAAATCTCTTTTCCCCACTGTGCTCATACCTCCTACCCTCACTCCGTTGTAACCAGTTTCCTCCATGTTCACTGAAAAACACTCTGCTGGCATACTCTCAACTGCGGGCTGGCCTTGAACTCAAGAGGTCACCTGTCTCTCTGCCTCCCAAGTGCTGGGATTAAAGGTGTGCCTCTCTACACCTGGCTTAGATTTTTTTTCAAGTGTTTGTGTTTTGCTTGTCTGTATGTTGTGTGTGCCTGGCGTCCGAAGAGTCCAGAAGAGGGTGTTAGACCCCGCTCCCGAACTACAGTCTCGGGCAGTTGGGAGTTGAGGGGCTGCCGTGTGGGTGTTGGGAACTGAGCCGGGGTCCTCTACAAGGGCGGCAAATGCTCCTGTGGAGCAGAGACAGCGATCTTTCTCTCCTAACACGTGGATGTCCTGCGTCAAAGACACATTTAATGCACGCGTGTTAAAGCCGTACAGTCGGAATGGCAGCCATATCGTTCTCGGTTCTCTGTCCTCTCTTTGCGATTCGCCCACGTTTATCTCTGGGAGGACTCCTGGGGGGGGGGGGGAAGAAACGGGGGATGCCAAAAGGTCACCCTTATTTTAGCAGGTTACTTCCCATTTCCCCACTCCAAGGCCGTCCAATTCTCCGGGCAGCACACGGGAGAGTCCTTTCTGGTGAAGACTCTTGAAATATTTGCACCATCTTTGTTCAAAGGGGGCGAGGGAAGGCGGACCTGCCCTTTTAAAGGACCTACCTACTACACCGCTTTCCCCGCTCGAGTGCCGACGCTCAGGTAGCTTTCGGTCGGGTCTCCCGGTCCCCAGCGGTCGTTCCCCTTCGCCCCGGGGTGGGGCGGGCCCAGGTCCGCCTTCGCCCCGCTTCCGAGGTCCAACTGCGAAGCCCGCGTTAGCCTGGGCGCCTCCTGAGGCCCCCTGCGCCCACGGACGCGCCCCCGGCCCCCCTCCCAAGCCTCTCCGCCAACCGGCGCAACGGGCCGGGGCCGTCCGGAAACTTCGCTCGCTCCTTCCCGGGGCCGAGGCCGTTGCCCGAAGCCCGGCCTAGCTGGAGGCGCGTCTCGCCTCGCCAGGGCGCTGCCGCCCCCAACCCCCCGAAGGAAGCCCCGCCGGCTGCTCCCTCGGGCGCGGCCCCGGGGCCTCGCGAGGACCCGCGTCTCCCGCCGCCGCCGCGCGACGCCTCGAAGGCGCGCCGGGTGGCCCGCGGAGGGCGGAGGGGAGCGCGGGCGGGCAGGCGCGCGCCGGTCCCGGCCCGTCCCGTCCCGGCCCGTCGAGCCGCGCGGGGAGTCGCCCAGCTGCGGGCCCTCAGGCGAGGGCGCCGGCTCCTCAGCTGCGGGGCGGGGGCGTGGCAAGGCCCCGGCGCTCCTGTTTTCCCCGCCGGGGCGGGCTTTCGGTTTCGTTTCCTTCCAGCGTCTCCGTCCTGCGGAGCCGTAGCGGGCCCGGGGCCTGTGAGACGCCGCGGCTGCTGTGTCCGTCCGCAGCTCAGCTTCGGTCCGACGGCCATGGCCCAGGCCGGCGCCGCGGTGGCGGTGGTGGTGGCGGAGGTGACCCAGGTGCTGTGCGCCGCGGGGGGTTCCCTGGAACTAGCGGAGCTGCGGCGCCGCCTGCGAACGAACCCGGGCGCCGACGCGCTGGATCGGCTGCTGCGGGACCGCGGGCGCTTCGTGGTGGCCTCGCGGGCGGGCGCGGACGCGGGCCGGGCGGCGGCGGCGGCGGCCTCGGAGCGCGTGGTGGTGGCCGTGTCGTCGCTGCGTCTGTGCCGGGCGCACCAGGGCCCCAAGCCGAGCTGCACCGGACTCTGCGCTCAGCTGCATCTCTGCAAGTTCCTCATCTATGGTGCCTGCAAGTTCCTGAAGACCGGGTAAGGACGGGCGCCGGGCGCCGGGCGCCGGGCGGGCGCGGGACCCTGCCCCATCCACTCCCCGGCCTCCGCTCCCCGCCCCGAGTTTGGGGCAAGACGGCTAGGTGGCCGTCCCACGGCCTTGCCCTGCCCTTCCCTCTCGAGAGCGTTCCCCGGGCACCTTCCGAGCGAGCGGCTGGCGCCCAGTGATGCGGGATGCGGTACCAACGGGGGACACCTGAGCTTGGCACTGTGGCTCCCGGGGGGGGAAGTTGAGGTGGAGCCCTGCCTGCCCCCACCCGACGACGACGACGACTCAGCCGCCAGGGAGCTTTGAAAGCTCCACTCAACTCCCTTTTGCCTGCTTAGAAGCCGAAACTCGGGTCTCTCCGAGGTCCTTAGGGAACCTAGTCCTCTTGGGTGCCTCTCTGCACACTCCACCCCCAGCTTTGCTTCATCTGGTGGCCTTGCCCTGTCTGGAATGCCCTTCCTCGATTCGCTCTTCAGTGTCTCGGGCAGCAGCCGGAAGATTCTGTCCATTTTTGAGCACTTTTCTCCACTCTTCCTCCTCATGCTGTCCTGAGCCTGGGTTGGCGCGCTCTCCGCTCGCACCTGCTGCATATAGTAGGTGATTAGTGAGATCCGTTTAGACCGAAGAATTTGGCCCCCACCTTGAAGGCGATGGCGCTCGTTAGGTGGCAGCTATCAGGGTTGCGTTGTAGGCAGACGGTTGGGTAATGGCGTGGATGCTGAGTTAGCAGAAGATGTTGAGACTGCCTGCTTCCTAGCTAGTCCAGATATCTAGGAGAATTAGTTTCTTCCCTCTCCTGCTTCCTTTTGCTGTAACACGGTCGACATTAATTTTTATGATGTCACCTTGGGTTAGTAACGTTGACCCACGCAGTCACTCGGGGATCCAGGCTGACAAATACAGCTGCACCCTCAATACTCTCGAGGCAGTTAGAAGCATCAATCAAGTTGTAGGGGTTGAAGGAAAATCTGGACAGTAGGGGGGTCTGGTGGGAGGCTTTGTGGGCCAGGTCTACCTAAGGGGTATGGCCTGGGTAATGTGGTCTCTAGGATGTGGCTATTCGTGAATAATCCCGGTTAGAGCCTCACAAAGAATGTGTGTGAGAGAAATAGAGGCTGGGGGGAATGTCGACTCCTGCTTCTGCTCCCACTGCGGACTGAAGCCGGAGAGGGTTTGCCTTCTCTTACTTAACAGGCAAACTGAACCCTGAGGTGCTGATTTGGAAGCTGCTAGGTGGTAGAAACTGTGGTCCCAGTCTCCGGGGTGATCAGGTCTGAGGAGAAGGTGGGTCTACAGGACACGGTGGAGCTCCAGGAAGACAGTCTGCCAGGCCAGAAGGAGGCATCGTCTCTGGGGTGGGAGCAAGCCCAGAGAAAGCGAGATGTGACAGGTGGCGGCTGCTCGGTGCAGTGACAGGCTTGGCTGTGGATGAATGGACTCAGGCTGACCTGGGATTTAGCCTGTGGGCCAGGCTGGAAACTCAGAGATCTATCTGCCTGCTTCGGGGTTAAAGCCATGCACCGCTGCACCTGCTCGGTGGATCTATGTACTGTGCTTAATTGGTAAAGTGCTCATGGAAGGAAGATCTGTTTTTGTTGGTTTGAGACAGGGTTTCTCTGTATTGTTTTGGGGGTTGTCCTGGAACTTGCTCTGTAGACCAGGTTGGCCTTGAACTCACAGAGATCCACCTGCCTCTTCCTCCCGAGTGCTGGGATTAAAGGCGTGTGCCACCAACGCCCTGTTTACCTAAAACTTTTTTTTTGCTTTTGATGGGAAATGGAAAGTGACTTTCCGTGTTTTCTTGATCATAGGGATAACTCTGAGAAACAAGCCTACAAGGCATCTTCAGTCCTTGACTTTGGAGCTATGCTCAGGAGGCAGTGTTCCCGGTGATAAGAGCTAGTCAGTCACCTTGTTTCAACCCAGCTGTGGCCTTTACTGGCTGGTAATCTTGGGCAAGTAGCTTAATGGCTAAGTCTCAGTTCCCTCAGTGAAGATAAGATTATCACCTCACAGGTTGATTGAGGCCTGAATGAGTTAACTCATGAGGCATTTAGGCAGCCCCTGTTGCGTGGAAATGCTCAGTAAGTGTTAGTTGTCGATGCAGTTGTTTGGTTTCCTCTCTTCTCCTCCTCCGTCAGCTCTTTCCTAACCCAGTGAGTATTTGGCTCGTTTTATACTTTCCAGTAACCTCTCCTGGCCACTTCCTCAGTTCTCTCCCCAATCCAGACTGCAGTGCCCTTTTTATCTGTGCTACTGTTTTCCTAACACAGCTGGCCTCGAACTTTCCACTCCACGTTTGAGTTCTTTTCTGTTACAATCGCCAGGTGGGGGAGAGGAGTCAGGATGGCTTCCCGGTGTTTGATCTGCAGGGAAGCTGGTAGGGGAGAGGGTTTGGGAGTGGATCAGGAGTTTGGCGTTCTTTCAATGTGTTTATTACAGACCTTAAATGAGGTGTGGCAGATGTTCCTCGCCTGGCTTCCCAGGTGACTGAGGCCGCCATCTAAAGGTTTGTCCCTGGGTCCTTAGGGTGGAGTACCAGGGCTCAGCAGAGGCTGTGGGTCGGGAGAATGGACAGGGAGCTGCAGAAGGACTGGGCCCAGGAGCGGTTGTGTCTACATGTACCCGTACCTGAAAGCATGGGTCACCCTGCTTAGCACTGAGAAGAGATTTTTACTGTTTTTAATTGTGTGTCTGGGTGGGGGTAGACTGGAGGGAGTCATGCACATAAGTGCAGGTGCCTCCAAAGGCCGGAAGACAGTGGCGGCCAGTTGAGGCTCCCACATGGGTGCTGGGAATTGAACTCAGGACCTCTGCAAGAACAGTGCAGTGCTCTCCAATGCTGAGCCAGCCCTCTGCCCAGGTGTTTTGTTTTGCAGGGTGTGTGTGTGTGAGTGAGAGAGAGAGTCTGTGTGTGTGTGTGTGTGTGTGTGTGTGTGTGTGTGTGTGTGTGAGAGAGAGAGTCTGTGTGTGTGTGAGAGAGACTGTGTGTGTGTGTGAGAGAGTCTGTGTGTGTGTGTGTGTGTGAGATTGAGTCTGTGTGTGTGTGTGTGTGTGATTGAGAGAGAGAGTCTATGTGTGAGAGTCGTGTGTGTGTGTGTGTGTGTGTGTGAGTGTGAGTGTGAGTGAGTGAGATTGAGAGAGTCTGTGTGTGTGGTGGGCTGGGTGAGACATGGTCTCTACATAGCCCAGGCTGTACTGGAACTCAATATTTAGCCCAGGCTGGTCTTGACTCACTGAAATCTGCCAGCCTCCTTGGGATTAAAGGCTTGTGTTACCATGCCCTGCCCCACTTGGGTTTTAATCCCACGGTTAAGTGCTGACTGAGTGGCCAGTGTGCTGTGAGGCCTTTTGCACGATGGCCCTGCTGCTGTTCTCGTCACATACCCGCTGAGAAGTGTTGTCTGGGCCCTGTTTATTGCCCAGTGTCATCTCTTCCTGGTAAATAATCACATATTTTCACGCATAGCTGGTTTTTCCTCTGCTGCCTATAAGTAGGGGCAGGAAGTGTTTATGAAAAATTGCCATGAACAATGATTTCACCAGCTCTGTAAGTCTGCCATAAGTACCATAGCTTGGGTGGCCTGACCTTTCTCCCTCCTCCTCCCCTCCCTCCCTTCTCTTTTCCCTCCCCTTCTGTCCTCTCTTCTCCATTCCTTCTCTTTCCTGCCTGTCTTGCTATGTTGTCCAGCTAGTCTAGAATTTGTAATTCCACTGCCTCAGCTTCTGAGTGTTGGGATTACAGGTGCATTCTGACAGACCAGGAGGCTTAAACAACAAAGATGTATTTCTCACAGTTCTGGAGGATGGAATTCTGAGATGAGGTGTGGGGAGGGAGGTTTCTTCTAAGGTCGCTTTCCTTGGCTTTCAGATGGCCTCCTTCCTGGGTTCTCATGGGCCTTTTCTCTGTATGGATCTATGCTCTAGTCTCCTTCTTATTAAAGGACATTGCCATTTTGGATTGGGCCACTCATTTTAATTTACTTACCTCTCATGGCCCTGAGGACCTGGAAGCTCTGTTAGGGGAGTTTGGGGAGATGGGATGTAGCTCATAACACCCTCTTTGCTTCTTTGCAGGAAGAACTGTAGGAATGGTCACGACTTGAAGACTGACCATAACCTGAGTGTGCTGAAAACTCACGGTGTTGACCACCTCACCTATAGTGAGCTTTGCCAACTCTTGGTTCAGAATGACCCCTGGCTTTTACCAGAAGTGAGTGCCAGAGGGATGGTGGGGGCTGAGGTCTTATTTGCAGGGAATAGTGGAGAAGCCGGATGGTTGGAAGATAGATGACTTGGCCCTGGAGAGAGCTGAGAACACCGTTTAGATCAAGAGCCATTGCGTGGAGGAGACTTGGATTTAATATCCAGCTATTCTAATTCAATATGCCCCATTTATTTTCCAGCTCT